CATGACATACACACAAACATAACATACAATACCATAACATAACAGTTACATACGATACATACATAACCTACATAAACATACATACATACATTCATACATACATACATACATACAAACAATACATACATACATTACATACAAACATACATACATACATATCATACATACATTACATACATACATACATACATACATACATACATACATACATACATACATACTTACCATTACTTACATACCATACATACATACAATGATGACATACATTACATTAACATACATACATACATACATACATACATACATACATACATACATACATACATATGTACATGCATGCATACATACGAGAGAGGGAGAGTGGGGAGAGAGAGGCTTGGGGGGATGGGGAGGCTGGGAGCAGAGGGAGGGAGAGAGGACGACAGAACACACAAGGGAGACAAGGAAGAGAGGAAGCAGGAGAAAAGGGAGAGGACAATGTCGGCGGACTGAGCCGGAGGCTCTAAAGTTTCAATACACATGGCTACGGCATAAATCAAGGCTACGGCCGAAGGCCAAGAAGCCAAAGACATTTCATATCTAGTGCTGGCGATCAAAAGAAATTTGTGTCTGTTTTGTGTCTGTTTCCATTTGGCTCAAGGCCCTTCTGTACCATAGCAATACTCATGATTGCGTGACAAAGGAACCTTTGCAGGCCGCTTACAGGATTATACCACAAGTCAATCCACCAGGGACAATCCATCCTCCAATCACCCATATTGGCATATTGGGCTCTCTCCGGAACAGATCCAGGGACCGCATAAACGACCTCTACTACCACAGATTACTTCCCGTCTGGGATAGGCACCCCCGGCAGTGGGCCTCACCCCCCCCCCCCAAGGACTGCGCGGCAATTTGATGACGTTCCACTAAACGTAGTCTTTGGGGAGCGTCGCAAAACAGGGGTCCCAGGCTCCTGCCTCCGTTTGCCGAAAATCTGGTTGGACGTCCTAATTGCGAAAACGCTGGAAACACCGTGCTTTTTGCGGGAAATATTGGGGAGAAAAGGGGAAATGCAAGGAAGTGCAAGGAAATGAGTGGAGGAAATAGGAAGTCGACATGACAGGAAAGCAGCGGGACATGAAAGGGAAACAAAGGGGAACTGAAAGGGACATGCAAGGGACAGAAATGAAAACAAGGGGAGTGCAGGGGGAAGGAAAGGGAAACAACGCACAAGGAAACCAATCGGCACGACGGGAGATGTAGGGAAATGACTCGCAACGAAAGAACGGGACATACATGGAAAATGAAGCGGACATACCGAGAAAATGTCAGGGACATGAAGGGGGAGTTGAGGCATGAAAGGGACAGGACCAGGACATCATGGGAAACGTGAAAAGCACATGAAGGGGAAATCAAGGGGAAAGCCAGTAGTGAGATGACAGTTCCGGGTCATGAAGGGGCAGTGCCCGGACATCGAGGCAACTCAGGGGGGGACGTGACGCTGCAATGCAGAGAGAGAGAGAGAGGGAGAGAGCGGGAGAGAGAGAGGGAGAGAGAGAGAGAGAGAGAGAGCGAGACACAGAGAGTGAAGAAGAGAGAGAGAGAGAGAGAGAGAGACAGAGACAGAGACAGAGCCAGAGACAGAGCCAGAATCAGAGAAACAGAGAAAGAGACAGACAGACCAGAGAGAGCGACAGCGAGAGAGAGAAAGACAGAGACTGAGAAAGAGAGACACAGAAAGACAGAGAGAGAGAGAGAGAGAGAAAGAGCAAGAAAGTGAGAGAGTAGAGAGGTTCGAATTAGGGTACCCTTTTTCTGTAGAGGGGCGTGGACAGGAAGGAGACAGGGAGACAGAAAGAGACAAAAAAACAGAGACAGCGAGAGAGAGAGAGAGAGAGAAAGAGAAAGAGAGAGAGAGAGAGAGAGAGAGAGAGAGAGAGAGAGATTGAGGAGAGAGAGGCTTGGGGGGATGGGGAGGATGGGGAGCCGAGGGAGGGAGAGAGGACGACAGAACGCACGAGGGAGACAAGGGAGAGAGGAAGAAGGAGAAAAGGGAGAGGACAATGTCGGCGGACTGAGCCGCAGGCTCTAAAGTTTGATCATGACTCGTCTTATGTTTTAATGGCGAGGCATAGGCAAGGGCGGGAATTCGTGCCATACAACCTTAAAATTATGGGATATGCAATCGACGAACTGCATCTGAATCCAAGCTCTATGACCAATCCTTTTCCCCTATCACACCTTACTGGTTCAAAACGGAAACAAATCCCTTCTAGAATCTGAACATTCCGGAGCGTTCTGCCAACTGGATCTCGTGGCGGAACCGCGCCGAGCCGCGTCTGCCCCTCCCTCAGCAGCAGCTGAATGCGCTCCAAGTCACCCTGCCGAAATTTCTTTGTGGTCACCCCGACAAGTGACAAGAGATCAATCACTTCAAAGTGTGTGGCCGGCTGGTTTTCCCTGCAACATCCTTCCCGTTGCGCAAGGTAGTCATCAAGCGTGGACCAACAGGGCCAACAGGTCGCATGAGCAATGAAAAGCATCCAAGGGACTTGACTCATCCAAGGGACTTGACTCATCCAAGCGACTTGGGTACCAACTCGTCGGACTCGAACCCCTAAGCAATGAACTGGACGATCACCCCGCCTCCTGCGCTGCCCGGTGCAGCCGGTTCCGCTTCCGCTCATCGCGCCGCCTCCAATTCGGCCTCAGCCGTTTCGGAAGGGGGGAAGGACTTGCGGGGTGGGGATGGGTGGGGGGAAGGGGGGTTGGTGGGGAGGAGCTTTGGGGATTCCCTTAAAGGAAACCATAGGGGATGGTTTCCAGGCTATATAGGGGTCATTCCCTCATTCCCTGCTGACCAGCAAGTTGTTGCACGCATCTTCATCCAGTCTATCGAGCTGCATAGGTGCAGAGCGCTAAGTTGGCGAGAACCTGTCGCCTTTCAGTCGCACCGCGGTTGAAGCGCAAAGGGTTTCTCACATACCCGGGTGGCGTTGCAAAAAAAACTAAAACCACATACCTGCCCCATGTTCGCGAGAATGATAAAGGCCCCGCAGCGGGATTTTGGAAGGGAGGTTCCTCCTAGATGAGTGGAAATGGAGGCGATTACTCCACACTCCCGCCCATAAGGTAGGTGGATCTGTTGTTGGGCCAGCCTTACTGCCTTGGGGGGCGGGTTAACCTATCTGAGGTTGCTTTAAAGGGCAATAGGCCATGGCTTCGAGGGAAAGGACACATAAGGTCTTGTTGGCATCTGAGGGATCGGCCTACCGGAGTTTAAACATGCAACACAAATTGTAACTCTACATCGTTTTGGGGGTACTCGGGCCAAAAGCAACCCAATAGAAGGGGCCCTTCCGGCCTCTTGCGCGCGGGCACCAGCCAATACACTTCCCTGGAGGCCGCACGGTGCCTGGGCAAAGGGAGGCGTTCTCTGCCACATGGGTCGCGAAAGGTACCACTGGAAGATTCGTGTGGGATCCCTGTAAAAGTAGTCCGGTTGTCGGATCAGAATGCGGGATCAAAAGCAGAGGCCGTCCAATTGAAGAGTCTGGCGCACAGGCCAGCCAGCGGACATGCAGTAAGAATATGCAGCGAGATGACTCAACGAGAGGTTGTGCGGAGGATGTCAGGCTGCTGGTGCTTGTGAAGAACCCGACTTGTATTTCGTCCTGCCACAGTAGGCATAAATCCATTGAAATCAGTTCAGAAACAACAAAACTGGCAAAGTGTTGGTCATCAGCAAAATCGGCAACTCGCTGTTCGGCCCTGACCAGTGCCGCGGCGCAAGTTCAGCATGCGGAAGTTCAGGCGCCAGTTGCGGGAGAAGAGCGCGTAGCCAGCCTGCGGGGCACGTGCTGCCAGCAACCCTCTCCCACATCCATAGGCGTCCTTTTAAGGGAAATAGATGGGTTTCCCTGGTAGATGAATAACCACCAGGTAAACCAGGAATCGCCATCTATGTTTTTCCACCTACACAACCAAGAAGGACACCTGGACCTGTGCCCACAACTGCCCCGTGCCATGGTCTAAACTGTAAGCGGTCAGATCCCTCATGGCATGTCACGGACCGTCTCCCTAGGCCGGCTGCGGTCGCCGAGAACCACGGTCGTCTCGTCGTCTCTCTCCGGGCCTTGCGCAGCACCTCGAACAAGCCTTGTCTGACGTTGGAAGGGGAGCAAAAAACAAAATATAGCAATCAAGCAAAAGTGTAAGTCGAATTTTAGAAGTAACAGTTTTGCTTAAGTGGTTGGAGTTCACCCACTAAACCACACTAAGCAAAAAAGTGAAAAATGTTTCCCAAGGACAACCATGAAGCTGCTCTGCACGGCCAGCGCGAACTGCGGCACCCCGACGGCATCCGCCACCGCCCCGATGATGGCCTGCCGGTCCTGGGAGCGAGCGAGCGCGCCGGGCGGCAGGTCGAGAGGGGCCCGTCGGAGAGGGAAAACACGTGGCTGGTTGTTGTTGTTTTGTTTTTTGTTTTTACCTCGGCCCAAAGGAACGGAAACAAAAGGTTCGCCTTTTGGGACCTTTACGAAGAATTGCTCCCAAAAGGTTAAACGGTCGGGTTTGAACAGCTGAGTTTATAAGCCTGGATAGGTTCGATTTGCTCAAAATGCGATAAAATCCAACAGAGTCTACCCCCAAAGGGCGTAAGTCGCCTTGGCATTTAAGCCCTGGTAAGGCAGCAAAATTGAAAGCACTGGTCCGGGAGGGTATCTGAAATCCAGTTGCATCTCTGCACATCGACGATTGCCTGCAATGTTCCCTGTCAAATCCATCCCAAACAGGCAAACTCACCAATCATATTTGCGCCAAACCCGCCAGGTATTTGCCTAGGTCCTCCAGAGAGGTTAGAACAAGGGTACCCTTTTGTTCTGTAGTCTATTTTAGTGCACCAAACCCGCCCACCTCGGTTTGAGCACCAGCCGAGCACTCGCTTCCATCGCCCGAAGCGCCGCCCACAGCCCAGCCTCCTCGTTGCTGGCCAGCGCCGCGCTGGGCTCCAGCGTCGACACCCGCTCCGCCAGCGCCACCAGCGTCTTCGCCAGCGCCGGGCTCTCCCGGACTCGCCTGGGACCCCAAAAGGAAAGAGAGCCCAGGGCAGCTGAATCTGGGTGTTTCGCAGGGACCAAGTCCTCCAGGCAGGTGGTTTCCTTTTGGTTTCCGAAGAGGAAAGAATGGTCCAAAAAGGGGGTCCCTATTTCGAGAAACCCCCATCTGTTCTTGACCGAATGGTTTAACGACTCCTTTGCCACCGCTAGTTCAGCATGGCGATATATCGACTGCATATCATGTTTCGGGGGTGTTGCCGGCATCAGTTCGCTGTGGCCAAAAGGTTGGGTTGGAACCACTGAGCCCTGTGGCTGAAGCGACGTGACGCTGGGAAATGTTATTCGCACTGCTCCCACGAGAGTTTCAGGGGACCCAAATGCCTTCTGTCATACTACATCGGTCCCTGAAGAGGCAGGGCCATTTCCTCGCGCGCGCACAAACGCACACTCTCTCTCTCTCTCTCTCTCTCTCTCTTTCGCACCCGCCCGCCCGCCCGCCCGCGCACGCACGCACGCACGCATGCGCACACCCACGCACGCAGACCCTGGTGAGAAGCTCAAACATTGCTGGCAAAACCTCGGTGGAACGACCAGCTGACTCTTGTTGATGTCGGCTCAGCTGTTTCTCGTTCAAAGCCGTGGACTTTCTCTCGCGCGAGGGGAGGGTGGCAAATTCCATGACACTCTTCCCCACTAAATGGGCCAAATAAAGTCCAAACTTTCATTTACCAACAAAAAAATGGCTATCCAAAAATCCTCCTAAATGGTTCAGGCCCTGCATGTTTTTGCCCTAAACTGGTCTTCCACTGCATAAACTCCATGAACTCATTTCGAATGAAATATTATTTATGAATATATTTAGTGATTATTTTTATTGATACGAAATGTGTATTTGAATCATCAAATAAACATATTTAAAAAAGGAAGCGAGAAAGGCGTCGGACCGTCGGGACGCGTGTCACACGCTGGGGCCCAAGCTCGCCCAGCAGGACGCCGTCCTTGGCGGCGCAGAAGAAGGGCAGCTCCAGGACCTCGGCTGGCCCCGGTCCAAACGGCGCCGGAACGCCGAGACCGTGGGAAGGCCGGAGGAGCGAAAGGAAAACCAGCAGGAAGCCATGGGAAAACCATCAGAAACCAAGGAAAACCATGGAGAAACCATAGGACACGGCATAGGAAACGAAAGGAATACCAGCAAGGAACCGTGGGAAAACCATCAGAAACCGAGAAAAACCATAGGAAAACCATAGAAGAACCATAGGAAAAGACAGGACAACAAACGGGAAACAATGAAAAACCATCAGAAACCAAGAAAACCATAGGAAACGCCATAGGAACACCATAGGAAAACCATAGGAAACGCCATAGAAAAAGCCATGGGAAACCATCAGAAACCAAGAAAAACCATAGGAAACCATAGGAAACGAAACGAAAACCAGCAGGAACCAGGAAAAGCTATAAGAAACCAAGAAAAACCAACCAGCAGGAAACCATGGGAAGACCATAAGAAACCAACAAGAACCGCAGGAAACTCATAGGAAAAGAAAGGACAACAAAACGTGAAACCATGAAAAACCATCAGAAACCAAGAAAACCGTTGGAAAACCGTACGAAAGGAGAACCAACAGGAAACCATTTAAAAGAACCAAGAAAAACCATAGGAAAACCTCTACCTCTCCCTCACAACGCTGTGGATCGCCTTCCTAACTTGGGCAGGTTGATCAAAGGGATCGCACGAGGGGGGGGGTGGTATGAGTCTTCGAACTGAGGCAGTCTGCGTTTCGTTGAGCAAACAAGCTCGTAGGGTGAAGTTGGGTTGCTGCTGCGGTCCATACTTCTTTATGCCTGCATCACCTTAGCCAGGCACACTCGAAATCGCGAATTGCTGGATGTTGGTGAATCGCCTGTAGCAATTCAGGCACGCAAGCTGCAAGCGCAGACCAGAACTCACAAAAGTGTGCCCTCATTCAGCAAAACTGAAACTTGCCACAACAGCTGGATCTTTCTAGACTTTAGAAGCCAGTCCTGTTGAATGACAAAAGCATTCAGCACAAAAACTTTGGGTCACCGCTGTTTCAGCCCCCCAGGATCTTGTAATTCGTGCAAGTGAAGTACACATGTCCTTATCGACACGGGCAGCTAACACTCAATTCGCCAGCGGCTTCTCACCAAATCGATCGCATCGCCGTCCGTTGCTAGTGACTGCACCTCACACCAAGTACATCACTAGTCCGGGAGCTGGAAGCACAATCCAATTCAACGGATCTGGGCAACAAAGGCAAATGAATGGTCAGAGATCCATGAGTTTCGGCAAAAAAAGCAAATGGGCATGCGGTCTTGGCCCAGCGGCGCTGGTTCGCAGCACCTCATAGATGCACCAGATCCGCGTGAGGGGCATGGCCTTCTCATCCAGGACCATGACCTCAAGGATGGCCCCTGCCAGGCCCCAGAGAATCCCAGGCCTATCAGACTGATTGTTGCGGAATCCATTTCGCACCTAAGAAACCCAGAATGATTCGATTCCCCGTAAAGCTCTGAGCCAATGATGCGTAGGACGTTTTGCAGGCAGATCCAGACATGAGGAGGTTTGCTTACATGGAAGGTGGGCCAATCGGGAGTCTCACTTCTCAAGAAAGCTCTATACTAATGAACTAAAGGTGCAATCATGGGGAGTGAGCATTATCTGCACAAGTGTCAAGTAAGCGAAGTGATCCTTGACATTGACCAGGAAGCCCATTCGTTTTGTTGCTGCATGTTCCATAGGGCGGATGTTGCGCTTGGGTTCCGAACCCAAGACCGAGGCAACTTAGGTCCAAAGGACCTGGAAACAAAAGGTTACCTTGTTGCGACCTTCACTAAGAATGGACCAATCAGGAACACCAAAAGCTCAGAAGGCTGGCAATTTGGGTTGAGTGAAACTTGCCAACACCATCACCTAGTACGCATCCCCCCCAGATACTTGGGTTTCGGCCGGGTTCATCGTCACTTTTCCCGTCACTTTTCCCGAAGCGTGCGTTCAAAGCTGTGCCAAGCCTACATTCCCCCAACAATCCGCAGAAATTATTTACTAGGTACGGGTGCCGCATAAAGTTTCAACTTTTTGGCCTCAGCTTCCATGTTGTGCTGCGGGTCTTGCATTTGGTGTGGCGCTTGGCAGCCCGATGCACAACAAGATCTCCGGACGGGTATTGCCCAACATGGAGACCTTCCCAAGTGAAGTTGAGTTTACTGGCTCACCTGTGTCTCCCTTACCACCCAAAAGGCAAAGGATGGACCCCCCCCCGGCGAAGCGGTTCGCGCGGCTTGCGGCCGGGGCGCCACTGCCTTGCAGCTGTGAGCGGCCAGGGCGCGCTCGAAGGGCGACTCTTGCAGCGACTGGCCCAGGTTCACCTTCCACTGGGCGTTGGCGAAAGAGCAGATCCAGAACCTTGGCATGCTGTGGGAAAAGGGGAGGGGAGGGGAGGGGAGGCAGAGAGCGAGAGAGAGAGATTCTCTCATGTTCAGCTGGAATTCCTTGAGGATTAAATTGAGCTGATGGTATATTCACTGATTCACCCTGTGTTTGGTCCTCTGGCAAGATCTTCGACCGGTTGCCGGAAGAACCAAAAAACGGCCTGCAAGAACCATAGGTGTCCTTTTGGAAAAAAAAGAAAAGAAGAAAGGATCGCCCTGGCAAATGGAATTCTAAGACACCCGTCTAAACCAGTGGTTAGCCCATCTATTTTTAACCAACCTCACCGATCAAAAGGACATGGCAAGAAGCCTCACAAGCCGGCCGAGGCTTTCAGGCCGAGGCGCACCACCGACTTGGGATCCCGGCCGGCCCTCGGAGCGGAGACTCACAGAGACCTTCTTTCGGGGAAATTCTGCAGGCTTCTACTGACTCAATCGGTCTAGAACTATCAAATGAGTGCTTCTCTATCAACCTCTGCGACTCTTCGAATGATTTGCTTTATTCGACCGAAACTGATACTACCTCTCGTGCGAGGAGCTCCCGAAAAGGACATGAGAAAGCCCGGAACCTCACACGGGATCATCCTGTTTAAGAACGAAATGAAAATGACGTTTGATCTCCAGCACCGGCAGGCTCAAATCACAAATCCAGCTCTACCCAGGTTCTTGGCTCTACAGGTTCTTCTTGCCATCGGAATGTGCAGAAACCAAGTTGCAAGGTGGGGACCTCCTTGACCAGCTCATCAGCCTGATGGGTTTGGCCGAAGGATGGTTCCTCACCAGGGTATCCGGCCAGCCATGCAAGCCAGTTTAGTACAGAATACCCCAGACGCGTGCACATCACATTCCCGAAGCTAGATCTAGCCGGCTGCGAGAATGGGATGGGTCTTGCCAGACACTAGATTTTCTTCTTTGGCCTATTTGGCCTGGTCATGCAGCATCAAGGAGCAGTCCAGGCATTGCAGCGTGCTCCCCTTTGGGTTGGAAAACAGAAGCTCATTTTGAGAGACGCGGTAAGCTTGCGCTGGTAAGAGGCTGTAGCATGCAACATCAAATGCCAGGAGCCTCTGGCAATGGTTCTCTTTTCAGGGGTATTTTAGCTTGGATTGTAGCTTGGTGAATTGGTAAACACTGTTTCCCCTGGCAACACAAACCAAAGCTCCACTCTCCTTTCTACTGTTTCGACGTGCCATTGGCAGAAAAAAAACGGGACATGTTCCGTGCCCCAACAAAACCCATGTTCTGCACATGGGCTGCGCAAGACATCAAATTGCCCCTCAACCCAATGCACGTGCCAGGAGAGAACCCGTCTGAAGACATTGCGACTTCCACGCCCGTTGGAGGAAACATCACTGCTTGCGGGTCCCTGCAAAGCTGATCAACTGGGTGCGTCTGTTGTGAGGGAGCCCTTTACAGGTTTGGCTATGGCTTCAAAAACTGGTTCCCAAATGGAACCCTGGTAAGTGGAAACATGGACCAAAACCTGCGTAACCCCAGCTGTTTAATTTTGAGCCACATCCGTTTGTTCAAAAGGAAGCCAAAAGGAAAACCGCACCTGGTCAATTTGAATACCCAAATGCGCGAACACCTCAGGACCCCCCTGACAACTCCCGAGCTACTCCTTCCATGCGATCCCAGCTGCCGCGTGCTCGAGGGCCGCCAGGAATTCCGAGAACTCGTGGCCCCACCAGTGGGACACGAAGACATCCACCGGCTTCTGCGAGAAGAGCTCTGCGTAGGAGCCTCGCGAGCTGATTTCTTGGGGGATTTCCACCGCAAGGACCAAAACCTCCCAGCCCCAGGTCCTGGTGGTTTACTTGGTGAAACAAACCTCGCACATAGGAGAGACAACCAAAACCCAACCAAAACCCGATTTTGTTGCAGGGCCCGGCGCCAGCCTGAAAGATCCCTTGAGATGCTACCGAGCGTCAACTTGTGGCTGAGAGCCCCAAAGAAATCTGATGTCCAATCCGAATCTCGCAAATACTTGGAGTCCCTCTCGGGAAATGACAAACTCAAGCCCAAATAAGCCCTAAAGAAGGTCTTATAAGGTCTTAACAATTTCATAAGAGCTGCCCCCCTCCCCAGCCCCCATGACTTTAGAAAGCAAGCTAGCATTAAAATAATGCTTCAGTCCCCCCTGTCGTTAAGCACAGTCGAATGCTGAATGACCTCGCAAATTGCCCAGGTTCCAACTCCCCAGACGACCGGGATGTATTATCCATATGCGCCATGATCAAAACGCCTTATATGGACTATGGTCATGGTTCCCTCAACAAGAATCATTATCATTGTCTTAAGATCCTTACTACCATGTGGATGACCATCCAGGTCAATTTCAAGCAAAGGGACCCATCTTTTGACCATGGCATAGAAGAGACAGTACATGTCCCTTTCATTTCCATCCATTCCCGTAGTGTAGCGGGTTACCCTGTCTTGGTTACTGAAAACGTCTAGCGGGGTTACCCAAAATCTGAATCTGTCATGGTTACCCAAAACCTGTCATGGTTGCTGACATGTCTGGGCCAAAGACCATGCACATATGTCTGCTTACACCATAGAGTGGCTCTCTGGCGGCTCAAACTGGCCTCTGGTCGAGGCGGTGGCAGGCTTGACAATGGTGGGCACCACATCATACATGGAGGGGGTCATCATCTTCCTGGGCCCGACTGTGACATCTGGGTGTTTCTCGACATTGGGGACCCTTCCAGGTGATTTCCTTTTTGCCCGTTTAAAAGCCATCTGAAAAGGGGTCTCCTAATTTGAGAAACCCCAATCTGAGCGACTCACACATTGAAACTAAGTAAGATGTAGGGCTTTCGAGAGTGCTTGAGACATCAACTCACTCTACAAATACACATGGGAGCAACCCCAGCATCCGCTAGCGGATAGACCAGGTTCCTTTCAGATTTCTACAGTCTGGCCGGTGCGTATGGATCGGGGAGTCGCGGGCTGTGCTGCCACCCCACCCCCCTCCCCCACCCCCCACGCGTCTGGCTTTCAGCTGGGCATCTGCATGTGAGGGTTCCACATGGCCGTCCCCAGCCACTCTCGATTCTCCTCAAAGATCTTTTGCAGCTGCTCCAGCCTCGGGAATATGGCCATGGGTCAAAATCCAGTACCCACAGTGAACATCCCAATCCAACCACTAAAATAGGGAATCTAAAATGGGCGGTGCACCTACCCCAACATGGTACCATTGGTTTTGACCCACAGCCATGTCTAGTCTCACGGGAGACACACCCGTGGCCTTCCTGTTGATTGCCCCGAAACAAGACACACCCACAGCCCAAGAAGCTTGGAGGGATCTCATTCAGTGGAACTGCCACATTCCCAGCTTGATCAAACCCAGCGGCATAACTTCTCGTACTGGTGTAGGGCTATTAAGTTGGCATTGAATCCAGAGACAGCATAAACGGCACTATGTGCATGATCCTGCAACGTGTCAATTGCAAGCTTGCCAGGAGCATGTCCACAAGCAGCACAAGAAGAGATACTGTAAACATGTTGCCCTTTGGTCAATGCTAACATGCATCCGTCCGATAGCTTCCAGCAATCCAGCCCTTTACGAATGGGCAGTCTGGCAACCCCACGAGGGGGTCCTGGATTTGTCTGTGACCTTTTCGGGTCTGGGAGGCAATGTTCCTTTCCACTCTGACGTCTCCGACTGTGCGTTGGTAAGTACAGGGTCATCTGAGTCATAATCAAAACCAACAGGTACTACAATGGTCTACCCACCATGTAAAGAATGAACAAGCCGGATATCCGCACGGGGATTCTCCCTGAACCTTCATCTACCCAAATTGGTTTTGAGGACATGGCTCATCACTAAGTGGAATGACGAAGCACGAGGAACGGAAAAAGCCCGTTTTCCAGGCCCCACAAATGGGTATCTTTGGGTTTAGGAATCGGACCCCCGAAATGGTGGTTCTCCTTTTGGTGTCTTTTTGAAACCACAAAAGGGGGTACCCTCCAAAAAAGACACACACAAATCGAAATCAGGGATGAGGCAACCAAGCAGGGCTGTTGCATATTTGACGCAACGAATTATCCGGGAGGCGTCACTCCAGCCAGCTTCGGCGGCCTCATCCCTTGGGGATAGCGCCTGCGTGCCAGTGCAGGGGGGAGAACCCGCCAAATCTGCGCACTGTGCATGGCCCGATATATATTGCCTCAGCCTCTGCGTCTGAGTCGTGGAAAACGGCAAATCATCCTTGTGCAAACCTTCAAAGTAACGTTGGCTAAGCACAGGCCAACATGGTGGTTGTCCTTTTGGTTCTTCCTTAAAACCACCAAAAAGCGGGGTCCCGTGCCAAAAGAGACACGCGCACATCGATTCTCTGTGGGTATTGCTGTGTTGAAAAGTTCGGATGCCGCTTGGCGACGCGGCTTTTGGACTGCGGTCCGCCGCCTTGCGCGTGTGACAAGATGAAGTCCTAGTAGAAGCATGTACCAGGAACTCGGGGAGTGAAGGCTCCAAACCCATCGGAATGAGCCGAATAGGCTAGAAAGGATGTACCACAACAAATACCATCATGGTTTGTGTGGGTTCACTGCATGTACCAGTTCACTTCCATACGTTTGATTGGTTTCAAAGCTGCAACCGACAGAAATGCAAGCGGCATCGGCCCATTGGCCTATAAACCTGTGCGCAAGTGACTGTGCACAAATCGGCAAGAATGTGATTGGCTTTGCGCGCTTGGTCAATGAAGTTGATACACTCGTACGGTTAGCAGCTTAGCAATTGGGACTCTTCCAAAATCTTGATCTATTCGGGCACATGTGGCTGATCAAAGTGAGGTTCGTGAAATGGCACCCTGGTAAATGGAAAGGACCAAAACCTGCGGTCCTATTCCTGGTGGCTTTATTTGGATTTATGCCTATGTCAGATTCTAGATCAGGGTTCCACTTTCTGACTACGGGTAGACTTAAACCTAGAGGTGGTTCATTCCCCCCAAAAGGCGAATCCCTGGGCTTAAGTCTCTCTTGGGGTAGTCAAAAAGCTGGCCCCATTATCTTACCGTTGTCAAAGTCACCCCCAGCGGTAGGGTAAAGGAAACAGCCCCAATTTCTGACTTTGATCACCCCTAGAGACGGTCAAGGCGAATTCCTTTGGGTTAAAGTCTCTCTTGGGTTCAAAAAGTGGAAGTTCCAGTTTTCGAGGGTCACCCCATCCGCGTCAGCTCTAAACCATCCGCATGCGTCCTGCCTCAGCTTCTGCCTTGCAACGGCGTGGTGCCCATGGTTGACGGTGTAGGCGCCTGACCGCGGCTGCCTCGATGTGCCACCTGTTTCCCTAGGCCCCGAAAAAAAAAAAAAAAAAAAAAAAAAAAAAAAATCCTGCCGCTGAAGCCCGAAAAGTTCCAAGAGAAAAGGGCTTCGGGTTTGATCGCGTGTTGTGGATGTCCCACCCCGATTTTTTTTCTCCCCGGCTGGTGCTTTTATGGTCTTGTGGGACTCCTTTCATATCCAAGGGTGGGACAGATTCGCCAATCCAACCGTTTATCTAGAAAAGGGAGCTATCCTTCACAAACGCCCCAGATCCAACATGTAAGCTTGATCTTTGCCCTGGGAATCGTAGATTTGAAGGACTGGGGGATGATCAAAGCTAGCCTTGAAACCACATGTAACGAAAGGGCCTGGAGCAATTGAGCCTGAAGCAACTGAAATATGGTGAAGCCAGTCAGGCCCTGTGGATTGAACACAGGGCAAAAATAGTCAAAGCCAGCAAACGGAACTGATCCAAGAACTAGTTCAAACATTGTAAGTGTTTGATATAAACAAAGTTATCCACAGGCGTGTCCACTTTGAGAAGTCAAACTATTGATACAGTGTATATTAGGGCCCAAGGGTGTACTGTGCAACATGCTGCTGCAGGGCACAAATGAATCCAGTCATGTCTCCATCCGTTGATGGTGAGGATCACCACTAAGTGCTCTTTATTAAGCCATTGAAAGCGCTAGCACATACATACAACCATTACATATATATATATATATATGTATACATATATATATATATATACATATATGTATATATATATAATTGTATATGCGGCACACTCAACTAGTACACAAACAACTGCCCCTTACTTGTTCATGTCCAATATATGCAAACCACGCACTCTCAGATTGCCATTGACACTCGAAAAGAGGGGTGTCATTGCACATGGGGGCTGATCAATGTTCGTGGCCCCAAAATGACCATGGGTATGTTTTCCCATTTAGTGATGAAACTCATCTTTCTTTCTGGTTTCCCTGGTCATCCCCGCGCAAAGAACCTTTTGATCACCCACATACTCTTCCTCCCCACCACATTTTGTCACGTATAAATAATGTACTTACGGCTAGGGACCACATTTAATGAACACCAAGAATCATCTAAAACAGAAAGAAACACATACATGTGTTTCTTTGGATGCTCATTGATGCTTTTGAATCCATGGCTCAGCACCTCCGGTAGCGTCAGAGCCGAGGCCGGTGCCATCCTTTATCCCCCAGAAGACCGCCTCAGCGGACAGCAAAAAGCGCTGGAAAAGTGGGCGCAAGACTCGCACTAGCCATGTGGGACCGCCTGCCTTTTTTTGAGGGAGCCCTTAAAAAACAAACGAGACCCACATAGTATCCACAACCATGGTATCCACGACAATAGTGTATCCGCAACAAGCAACATAGTAAAGCTGCCAAGCAATATAGTATCCACACAGCACCAAAGCTGCTGATTTGCCCAGAAGCACCGGCACCCTCATCCTAAGCGTCAGTGTTTTACGAAAAGTTCCTCCAAGCAACCCCCTTCCACAGCAAAAAAATGGCTGGGCTCAAATAAATGTACCAAAAAAAAAACCTTGGTAAATGGAACCTAAGACCGAAACCTGCATACCCCCAGCGGTTGAATATTGAGCCACCGCCAAATGAGGGCCGCAGCCCGTGTCAGGTTGGCCCACCAAATCCAGACAGAGCCTGCGAACCTGAATGTCTGAGGACACAAAAAAAACAGGCCTCAGACAGAAATCGTCACACCCAAGCAACCCAATGGAAGTTGAAACTGGACAACCATCTCCGGCCGAAGGCATCCCTCGAAGCGGGTCGTTTTGCCGTCCAGCGGCCGCGCGCCACGTCTTGCCATCCAAGTCCAGCAAATCCGAACGACTGCACGAAAGCAGTTGGCTCCACTGAAACACGTGAGTCATACTCAAAACCGATCGGTATCAAAATGGTCTACCCAGAACCATGTAAAACATAAAATTAAAAAACAATGAAAACAGTTGGCTCCACATCGCTTGTTGCCTCCATCGCTCTTGTCGCTCGAACAAATGGGTGCGTTTCTGTGCGTCGTTGGTTGAGGGTACCCTTTTCGGGTAGGCAAAAACACAGAAACAAAAGGAAACCAACCACTTTGGGGTTCCGATTCCGATGTTGAGACAAACCTATTTCCTTTTGCCGCGGGCAATGAACCCAAAGGCATCACTCGAACAAAGGGTGCATTTTCATGGATGCCTGACAAACCGGCGCAAACAAACGTTGCCGCCCCTGCGAGGTGCCTCTCGTCTGAGCTTCCTGAAACTATCCGGCACAGGAACTGCCAGCCAGCCTCCAGTAGTTGCTCGTGCCCTCGACTTCCAACAAAACCTGCGACGAGGTTTAAGACTCCAATGGCCAGGGATGGAGGAATGTCTGGGTACAAAGGGTACAAACTGGGCCAAGACATGTTCGAAAAGGGGGAGATCGAAAGTCGACCCCTCGTCGGACGGAGAAGGGTTTGGTGCCTTTGGCGCCTTCAAAGCGGTTTTCAGCATGGCAGCTGTTGACGAGGGCCCCTCGTTGAGAAAATTTGTTTCAACCTCGCTGTAGCGAGCGGGCGCTTCAAGGACGTCCGCGACTGGGCCCAATCATAGGTGCCCTTCTTGGTTGAAAATAACCACCAGGTAACCAGGAATCGCCCTCTATTTTTCAACCAAATCAGCCGTCCCAATGGTTGGACTGGTCTCCGAAAGAACTTCTCCCGGAACTCCACCAAGGGCTGAGGTGACTGGCTGTACCCTAAGTCGGCTGCTCCCAGGGCTACAGTGGCATGCTTGACTTCACGGGATGTTGTGCTGAATCGCGTCAAAGCATAAGGTCTGCATATGACGCTTGCTTTCTCTTCTGGTGACATTCATTGTCTTTTACGATTCGCTGGTGTTTGCGCGTGGTTCGTTTGGGACGGCCAACCAATACAAGCTTGAGAAACTGAACACCCGCACAGCAAAGCAACAAACTTTGGATTCTCTGGATAAGATCTTGTGAGGAGGGATTCAGATCTTGTGATTGGCCTCGCAAGCCTTCCCTCCATCCCCAACTTGGCCTCTTCGCCGGGCAATGGGTCCTGTCGGATATCAGCTCCACTCCCTGACCCCCTACCATCCCGCCCGGGAAGAGGATGAGCGTTCCCTGGATGAATCCTTAGGGAAGCTACACCTTAGGATACACTTTGCACTGAACAAATGGCGACGTCCAGGTGACTGTTCGAGTATTGATCCCATGCAGAAAGTGGTGGGGGCTGGGTTGAAGCAATCAAACTCAATCCAGGAGAGAGCTGCAGAGAAGATGCGACGCCTCCCCGTTCAGATCAGATGATCGCAAAACGATGCCGAACAAGGCAACTGACGCAATCTTCAGGTCTTAGGTACGCTGTTTATGGCACCTTGCCGCTGGGCAGCTTTACCGCCTTGGATATGATGTGCTTGCTTCATGGGACGCAGGCTCATCTCCAACCACCATTTCTCAACCCTTCTGGCACCTACTCTCCATATCTTCCCATGAAGAACAAAGATCACCTGGAAAGCGCGCCATTTTGAAGATCAGTAGAGAAAAATATCACAGCGGCATCTGGCTGTGGCTCAAAAAACCGGTACCCAAATGGAACCCTGGTAAGTGGAAACATGGACCAAAACCTGCGTAACCCCTCCTGTTTAATTTTGAGCCACAGCCATCTCAAGAACACAAACCCCTCAGCCCTCTCTCAGCCCCTGAAGAACAACATGATGTGGCCCTTACTTTCTGACGGATGCAGGACGTGATTCTTCGATCTTGAACCAAGGTGGAAAAGAGAGCCCGAGGGCTGGTAACGTGACCAGCAGATTTGAACGACCCGCAAGAGGCTCGCTTTCAGGGGGAAGACCCCTATTGATTCAAAAGGCTATGGCCAAGCCAGTTTGGTTAGCGAGCCATCTCTGCTCAAATGCACACAGGGGTCCTCCCAAGAGCCAACCGTGTCGAGTCGGCAGGTCCTCTTCCTCCACCCTGGCCAGCGCCTCCTTCAGCTTTGCACCTGAAGGCGTCCAGCTCAGCCCCAGAAAGTGAGACCATGTGGTGGGAGCGCGATGATCGAAGTCCACTCAAAGCGATCGATGTGAACATATGCTGACTCAGCTATGGAACATAAGCCTGGCCTCACATATACATCAGGGACTGCGCACATCAAAACATGTCTGGGCCTCACAGGCTGATGCAGGCTGCTGACCAACACATCGCTGTTGGTTGCTGCTTCTTGAGTTGTTGTGCTGTGCGCATGAGAATCAACCAAGTCAAACGGGCATAGCATGCACTATTCCTGAACACTCCGTTCAAGACGCAGCCTAAGTAACAAAGCAGGATGGAAAGTCTCGAAAGTCTCGGTATGCAACAAGCAATGAGATTTCGACCGAGTTTCTGAGTCAGTCAGAGCTCAGCAATGTGCCTGGTGCTCAGTTGGGCCATAACTTAATATGCACAACCAAGTTCCTTTGCCTTATCCAAGCCACTGGCATCACATTTGCCTCCCGTTGCGTACCTTTGTCTCTGGGACGCGCCCGTGGATTGACCATACCCGGCAGCTGTACCTGCTCCACCACACGCCCCGCACGGCACGTGTCACAACACATCCCAGGATGGTCGGCGATGTCCGCTGCAATAGGCCCCGACTGCAAAGCCGTCAAGTCGTACATGCTTCCTCTGCACGATGAACAGACTTGCAAGGCCCGGTTGTGCAGAAAGCCAGGTTTCTTCGAGGGGACCATGTCACTCGAGGACCCTCCCCGAACGGAAAAACCGTTGCAGCACAATTCAAGACGCCCAATCCGCTCCTCACTCCATTTGCTCAAGTCCCCTGGAAAACATATATGTCCAGTAGCCATAGATTCCCTTGAAACCCAACAAAATAAAACCCGGAGAAAAAAAAAGTCATTTCAGCAAATGGAGGTTACCCCTTTCAACTTCCCTCCAAGTGGTTTGGATTGGTGGCTAGGGAAGTGGTTCCCCATGTAAAGCAGGAAGCCATGCAGCCGAGGCGCGCTGCTCCTCGCTCAGCTCCGCTCCCAGCGCCTGGAGATCCCCGGGCTGTGCGGCGCCCAGCGCAGAGGCAGCGCTGCCCATGGCGCCGCTGCGATTGGGGGAGAGGATGCCCCAACCGGAAAACCCACCGGATATCCGCCAATCCATGGGAAATCCACGGGTAACCGTTAGGAATCCGCATTTAGGGTACCTTGTTTTCGTGGCTTGAAAGGAAACCAACCGGAAACCCAGCAAGTGGGGCGGGGGTCCAGTCTCTCACAAAAGAGACTACCCAACACCGTGGGTGTGACATCCGTTCGCATATATTGCAACCATCACAGTTCTTGGCATTTGATGTAACTAGGCTGGAATTCGGACCGCAGCGAAAAGTTATCTTGTTTGCCGAATTAGTGGAAAACAAAAGGGCCCCAAAAAATCAACCACAAAAAAAGCTCAGGTGATATCCCCAACAGCATGCGGTGTTCTTTTTAGTGCTCGCACCACCCCGCAGCCCTCGCAGAACCGCCTGGTCTTTGCATGCCAAGGACGCCCTTCAACCTCGCGTGTGGGCACAAAACCATAGCAAAACTCGCCATCTCTTCTGCCTTTGTGGCTGCACTCGCGGCCGAAAACCGGCACCTGCTGCCAAAACGTCACATCCGCATGCAGCCAGAACCAGGCAGAGACGCTCATACTGTGGATGGAAGAACTCCATGTCACTCGCCCCGGGAATCATGATTCCCCTGTAAAATGCCAACAAACAATGCTTTCCCATGGTTTCAAGGTGTTGCAGGATTTCGGCAATCCACAGTAGGTCTTAGCATGTTCGTGGGTTCTCTCTCAAACACTCGGAATCAACATTCGTCCATCTTAAAAAAGCCGCCCTGGATGGCGAAATCAACGCCCGATTCCGGTCCCTCCGAACTAAACAAGTAACAAGTATGAATGCTCCAGGAAGTGAGCGTCTGGAAATGCCTGAAGACAGTTGCACGAATCTGACAATTTGCTCAAAGCCCTTGCTTGAAACATTGCTGGTGGAGAATGTCGAAGGTTCTTGTCTCAGGTCCCTGAGTGCCCTGGAGGAAATGAAAGCAACGCAGCCGCCCTTCCCGTTTTATGCACGAGTTAGCTGCGAAGCTCGCTCAGCGCCGGCTCACTCCTCACGTCGCTGGCCAGGGTTCTGTAAAAAAACAACTGCAACCGTGTACAGGCATAGCTTTTCGAAACTCTGGCATCAAAAACAATCATAACTTTCCTTCTTTCTGATGCCCTCCAGCCACAAGAGCTTGCCTTGGAATTGAGAAGCCTTTTTTTCTCCCCGTACTGCCCGACCTGATTCTCACTGAAAAAGCACAGCTTTTGACGCTTCCAGCACGCTTTGGTCCCATCTTCCGGCCTTCGGCCTGCGGCCGTCTCCGGGTCTCATCGGCGGCGCCGGCGCGACCGGGACCGGGATCTGCGCTCCGCCCGCTCAGGTCGCTCTCGCTCGGCTCGGTCGGGCCTCGGACAACTCTCCTCCACTTTCTTCCCTGACCCTGGCTCTTTGCTCACCAAGGTGCATGAAACGGGGGAATCCTCCCGGATCCCTGGTTCTCCCTGTATCCCTAGTTGGTTTGCCTGACCAAAGGCTCCCCTCTGCTTGGCCCTCTCTGCTTTTCGGGTCCCGAAACCGCTGGGCTGTGCCTTTTTCCGGATGTCATTGGGAAAGCATATGCTTCTTGCTCGCGTAAGAGAACTGTCTTGCAACATGATTAATACGATTGTCTCCTTGAGGCTGTAGTGTTGGGACACTTGCTTGAAAGCGAGGTTCGTGATTTGTCTTCTTTGAGGAGGCAATTTCCGGGGCTCTTGCTTTCGTTCCAGTGAATCTATGACAAATCTGTTGGGGCGAATACCAAATCTGCCGCAATCTGCCCATCTGCCTGCCACATCTGACTCATCTCGTAGTCTGAGAGAAGCACGGGCTGAAAACTCTCTCTCTCTCCCTCTCTCTCTCTCTCTCTCTCTCGCTCTCTCTCTCCCTAAAATCCCTCTCTCTCTCTCTCTCTCTCTCTCTCTCTCCCTCGCTCTCTCTCTCTCTCTCTGCTTGCCACTTGCGGATAGTGCGAACCCTCCCCCTTTGCCAGCAAGAGGGCCCGTAGCTATTTGCCGTGGTGGCCGCGTTCCGCGGCATGTGGGGCAGGTCCTGCCATGTGCGAGCGCTTCAGACCCGCTCATGGAAACTGTCGGCTCCGTTTTCCCTGTAGTGGTTTTGGACTGCACTACATCGAGTCAACAATAAGTCGCTGCGACGACACAGCAAGTCAGGAACTGGAACTGTCTCGCGACCGCAGGGATGTAGGGGGAGCGAACCGCTCCTCCTCCCAATTGCCGATGGTTTGACTCTGTTTTCGCAGGAGAACGAACACGTGTGGTGCTGGTGTCCTCCTCTGCGGACGCAAGTGTGGAAGGTTTGCACCGACTGAGCTTGGCCACAAACTCATGGGAGAGAAAACACGTCTTGTGGGGGCAGCCGCTCCAGCTTCAGCCTGGAAAGGCCACCCCTCACCCCCGTCAACCGCCGGCCCCTCCCACCTCTGTGTAGTTGCGATTCAGCAGCAGGGCGCGGGAGCCCGAGAGGCCCTGGCTCTCCCACTCGCTCAATGCAAAGAGGCTCAAGTCAGGGAAACCGCCCGTTCATCTACCATGAACGTCACCTAACTGGTAGGTTGAAGGGAAACGCCCCAGTTGACTTTGATATCCAATGGCGACAGCTTCCCTGGTGCGATGAACTAGTGTGTGTGTGTGTGTGTGCTTCAGTTTAGCGTTCTCAAGCAGCTGAAATAATGAACAGTCCGCGGATTGAGACCGGGGCCTCCCGCACCACTACACCAACAGCCCCTGAATTTCTTGTCACCTCGTGAAAAGCTAAAAATCATGATAGAGCGCAACAGTCAATATAGCGACCCCGGGAGAACGATCACGGGCACCTTTGCAAGAGCTCTGATTGCTGTCCGGCGCAGACCCCAGGCACAGGCAAAAACCCGAGTAAGGGACGCTGGTGAGCCAAGCCCAATGTGGCAAGCGGTCAGTTTGGGCTCGGACCGGGGTCAGGCAACAGTTTTACCTGCTAGCAGCCAGTTCACTCAGTTCACAGAACTGGCATTCATCTTAAGCCGCAAGCTGAAAAATACCATCTCACCCAAACCCTCTCTCATCTCAATAAACATGGTGTACACATGGCCAAAAAAAAACTCGACCAGCACCAAAAAAGAAGCTGGCACTGTTGGATTCATGCCTCACATGGCACCAAATGCAGGCCGCAACAGAGGTGGCAACTCCTGCTGCCATGGAACCCTGTAAAACCTCTCCACTGCCCGGCATTGGCGATAAGTGCGCCCATGCCCTCCCCGCACGCAGCCGAATTTGGGTAAAGCTCTAAGCTATTCAACTTTCATGCATGGCCACGCCAACCTTAGTACTGAATTGGTGAGTGGGCCTTTTGGTACCAAATGCTTGGGGTTCTCCCCTATTGTTTTGCTTGGTTTCAATTTGAAGGGCAGCCAACAATGAAAATCGATGCCATTTTGTGTTTTTGTGGGGGCGAGAAAAACAAAACCGAAAAAGTAATCCTGTGTTGGTTGCTTGAGTTTAAAGGGCAAGCCTTTCCCACAACAAAGGCTGAAAAAGTCGGGCAACAGGCTTTGGTACCAAACGCTTGAACCCTACGCAGCCCTTCAACCAACCAACCAAAAAAACAACAACCAACCAACCAAAAAAACAACAACCAACCAAACGAAAAAACAACCAACCAACCAACCAACCAACCAACCAACCAACCAACCAACCAACCAACCAACCAACCAACCAACCAACCAACCAACCAACCAACCAAACAACCACCCAACCAACCAACCAACCAACCAACCAACCAACCAACCAACCAACCAACCAACCAACCAACCAACCAACCAACCAACCACCCCACCCAACCCAACCCAACCCAACCCAACCCAACCCAACCCAACCCAACCCAACCCAACCCAACCCAACCCAACCCAACCCAACCCAACCCACCCAACCCAACCCAACCCAACCCAACCCAACCGCCGGGCTCCCGCGCCGAGCCGGCCGATCGCCAGGAGCCGTCCCGCTCCCGGCCCTTCCTGGCGCATGGCGCCAGGGCGACCGCGCCACGCGACCGCAGAAAGGTGGATTTTTTCGCCCACGGGGTGTGCTGTTTGACGCGTGTGTGGTGCAATTTCGAGCTTGTGGAATTTTGAGCCCTTTGACTGGTTGGTTGTGGAGTTTTAAGGGGGGAAAAAGGGGCTGCCTGGATTTTCCAGCTGCTTGGATTTCAATTTGCGGTTTTCGCCACAAATGAAAGTGCTCTTGACTAGAAGAGCCAAAAGGTTTCCCTAAGCCTCCCTAAACCCTAAAGCCCAGTGAAAACCACCAAGAGCAGCCCCACGGACTCACTGACTCAGCCTGTCAAGTTAGAAGTGGTTCAATCCAGCAAAAGAATGTCACCTTCATGCAATCATCTTCGGTCCATGTCTGTGTTGACGTAAACTTGAAGAAACAACTCAACCACTGGGTGGAACCAGCCCCCCCCCCACCCCCCCACCCCGAGTTGGTGGGTTTGGAAGGCTAACATCAATTGGTCTGGTGACCTGGTGAAACTCCAAGAAAACTGCGAGAAATGCTCTCGGGCCTTGTAGAACCCTGCAAATTACAAAAGCAACTGTGACGAGTCCTTTCCCATTGAGCTTGAGTACGTGGTGCTTGCTAGGTTGAAGCAGCCCTGCAGTTGAAGCCCCGCCTCATTGCAAGAATCGGGCTCTTGCAACTCCTTTTCCCATGAGCAGCTCAAGACTTTGGTTGCTCATTGGCATTGTGTTGCAAGCGGGAATGAAGTGGACATGCCAGCATGCTATCCGCTTGAGAGTTTCTTACCCTTGAATCCTGAGCAGCCAGGCACATAGACTAGATGTTGCATACCGCGAATCTGTTCGCCACAACATGCGGTCGCCTCGGCTTCCAACATGCTGGCTCTCTGTTCTTGTTGGCCAGTCTCTTACCAACATCAAATCTAGGCAAGCTCGACAACACGATGTCCGCCGAGAGCATACAGAGCTGGAAAAGGTGCGTAGAGCCGGCATATCTTCATTTCTGTTGAGCGCCAGCAACAGACCCCTGCCAGCGCAACGAGATTCTGAGTTGACTACCAAGGATCAGAAACGTTCAAAACTCACCTTTGTCGGATCTGTCCCACGGAATTCTTGCAGAAACCCCTTTGTTTCTTTGCTTGCAGGCAGCATTCGATTGGGCCCTGTTCATTCGCCCTGTTTGTAACCTGCTGCTAGACGATAGACAGCACAATCCAGCAACAAAGTGAAAGAAACGAGTTCAAGGCTACTGGATAGGAACAGCAAGATGCCAAACTATGCCATGTGAGTATCAGCGTGAGGCTTCAACACCTGCCTCATGGCTAGCCTGACGTCTTGCTTTCTGTTCAGAACATTTGCCGCCAAAGCCAGCAGTAACCAGAAGCTACTGACAACCCGTTAGACATGGCTGTGGGAATGGAACCAAGGACTGAAACCTGCAGTCCCCTGGTGGTTTGATTTTGAGCCCTTTTCCCAGATTGCGGCGCATCGCTGTCCCCGACCACGCCTCTTCTCTCTTGCCAACCTGTGCGGCAGGGGAACTGTTTCAAGGATTCATGCGTCACTTGCCGACACTGCTTGAAACATGCAGAACTTAATCTTTGCACATCTTGGGATCTACTTTCCCTTTGCCGAGGGCTGAAACGTCAACCCTTTGAGCAAGTCCAACATGTATCTAAAAAGAACACAACCCAAGACTCCTTCTAGTTGGCGTCATGGCCGACAGGCTCGCGAGGCATCCACAAATGCAGGCATCCACAAAGCATTTCCTTCGGGCTAACTTTCCAAATCACATTGGGCTGTGCGGTGCACATGATGCAGGCGAACATGCAATAGTATCGTGGACGGACGAAATCCTGCACCACTTAAAGCCCCCTGGAATGCTGATTCCCCCGTAAATATCGGCAAACAATGGTTTGTCAGGATTTCAGAGTGGTGCGAAATGGATTCTGTCCATCTGTCCATCAGTGCCAACTTTCTTTTGAACTTCACAGGGCCGCAGCTCACCTTGCCATGTTGCCTTGGGGAACCCAAGCTGCAAGCCGCAACCCTCGGCCATCTGCAGGCGTCTGGCCTAGGACGGATTACTGCAAACTGGCCGTGGTAAAATACGAACGTGAATCCTTAGCACGGAATGTTGTGGAGTATGTAAAGCCATATTCAGTACTAGTGGTAAAAGCCAGTGGTCGTCATTTCGGCCCTTACGTTGAACTTCCAAGGAAGGCATCCGCATCCTGAGAGTCCCCCCCGCACCCGCACTCCCGAGGAACCACTCGCCTCCGGGCGGTCCTGGATGAGATGGAGCGGGAGCCCCGCGAGCGCGAGGCCTCGGGCGCATCTTTTTGGGCTGGAGCCTGGGATCACGGGAACTCTGAGCAAATTGGCGGGAACTCCCAAGCAATCATGCTTCATCTACATTCCCCTTGGTTTCATCTACATTCCCCTTGGTTTCATCTACATTCCCCTTGGTTTCATCTACATTCCCCTTGGTTTCATCTACATTCCCCCTTGGCTTATGGTTCCTCATTTCCCCTTAATTCATACATTCTTCATTTCATCATTCCCCCTTGGTTTCATCTACATTCCCCTTGGTTTCATCTACATTCCCCTTGGTTTCATCTACATTCCCCTTGGTTTCATCTACATTCCCCTTGGTTTCATCTACATTCCCCTTGGTTTCATCTACATTCCCCTTGGTTTCATCTACATTCCCCTTGGTTTCATCTACATTCCCCCTTGGTTTCATCTACATTCCCCCTTGGTTTCATCTACATCCCCCTTGGTTTCATCTACATTCCCCTTGGTTTCATCTACATTCCCCTTGGTTTCATCTACATTCCCCTTGGTTTCATCTACATTCCCCTTGGTTTCATCTACATTCCCCTTGGTTTCATCTACATTCCCCTTGGTTTCATCTACATTCCCCTTGGTTTCATCTACATTCCCCTTGGTTTCATCTACATTCCCCTTGGTTTCATCTACATTCCCCTTGGTTTCATCTACATTCCCCTTGGTTTCATCTACATTCCCCTTGGTTTCATCTACATTCCCCTTGGTTTCATCTACATTCCCCCTTGGTTTCATCTACATTCCCCCTTGGTTTCATCTACATTCCCCTTGGTTTCATCTACATTCCCCCTGGTTTCATCTACATTCCCCCTGGTTTCATCTACATTCCCCCTTGGTTTCATCTACATTCCCCCTTGGTTTCATCTACATTCCCCCTTGGTTTCATCTACATTCCCCTTGGTTTCATCTACTTTCCCCCTTGGTTTCATCTACATTCCCCTTGGTTTCATCTACATTCCCCTTGGTTTCATCTACATTCCCCCTTGGTTTCATCTACATTCCCCTTGGTTTCATCTACATTCCCCTTGGTTTCATCTACATTCCCCCTTGGTTTCATCTACATTCCCCTTGGTTTCATCTACATTCCCCCTTGGTTTCATCTACATTCCCCTTGGTTTCATCTACATTCCCCCTTGGTTTCATCTACATT